AACAGTTATAAATTTTGTACGTCAGTGGATTTTCATCGGACGTTGGTATCTTTCCGAAAGTATTACTGAATTCTCATCGGACATTAGTGGTTTTATGAAAATATTATCCTACTTCGACAGTCCAACAATTCATTGTCTGACAAAGCTAGCTAGCTTATCGGCAATTGTACGTACATCGACTTCAAGTTAACTAGCTGGATATCAAGGAGACACTGAACTAGAAAGAAGATTCTATGTTGTTTGTAAGTTAGTGAAATTGTTGTTTATAAAACTTTGTATGTGGTAATTATTCGTAATAATTGTTGTTGTATATTGTACTGTTGTATATATATATATTAAAACATATTTGTGTGAAAAACGAAAATAGTGTGTTAAATCATGTAGGCAAATAGCGTAAATCAACTAAAATACCGGCTTCGGACTATTTCAAATTCGCAATACGTAACAGGCATTATAATGTGACAGTCAATCCCACTATTCGTTGGTAAACGAGTAGCCCAAGAGATGGCGGTGGGTGGTGATGACTAGCTGCTTTCCCTCTAGTCTTAAACTACTAAATTAGAGACGGCTAGCCCTCATGTAGCTTTGCGTGAAATTCAAAAACAAACAAACAAATCGTCAAGACTCGTTTTCGTAGATCAATGGCAATAGATTCTATAATTATGTGGTGGAATTCTTCCCGGGATGAAGAATATGATGCTATGTCTACTTCTTGTTGTTGTTGGTTTTTTTTTGTTGTTGTTTTTTTCGTGTCATCCTCCATTCCTGAGGAGAATTTCATCTTATAATACTAGAAAATATTACCATTAAGCTATGAAAACAACTTTTAATAAGAAGATGAGCACGCTATCACTACACCTTCAATAGGGAAAATGTAAAGAAAAGAACAGAATATGAATTTCGATTTTTTTATTATTATTATTATTATTTTGTACAAGTAAGTCAAGGAGGAAGTTTGGTGCTTTTGTGCATTATTGTCTTGTGAAAGTTAAACGCAGGAAATGAAAAGTTGGAACGCAGCCAAGTACCTGTGAACCGGAACTTGTACATCTAGGTGTAAGTCACGTGAAAGAATGTTGCAAAATACGTTCAAACCTCAGTGTCAATCGCTCATGCACCAACACCCTAAACGCACGGCAAGTACCAGTTGAAGACTTTCTGAGGTCTCCAATGTTGCGCTTTTCCTCCACTATGAACCTGATCTAGGCATCACGTAGCCTGAAGGCTTGTGAGGATGCTTATAAACATTTTGACTCTAGCTCGAGCATTAAGTGGACATTAAAAGTCCAATTAGACTTGCTATACCTTGCTTAGTTTAGCCGTGTGTGCCTGTTGTACAGGTTTGGCTTAGCCCCGAAGAGCTAGAACCCGATTAACCTCTGTTTTGATCACTGAACGATCAATGCGTTCTATCACCAGATCCAAGTAGCTCAGTTTACCTGAAATTCAGTTGCACATTTATAAGATATTAAGAAAGATTCAGACGAATTAGATTAATACTACTTATTAGGAGATTTAAAAAGAAGAGAAATCGCGATCAGTAGAAATTTTGAGGAATTTGTATTTTTTTTTATTTTTTGGCGACGGAAGAAATATAAAAACAGCGTATCAGCAAATAAAAAGAAAAAAAAACGTCATGCAAAAATCTTGACAAAGACATACGAGAGTGAGTGACCCAAGGAAAAAGAAGATGCACTTAACCACTGAAGCTGTTTACAGAAATCACGTGAAGGCAGCAGCTTCACCGTATAGCCGCGTTAAACGACAACATGAGGTAGGACATAAGAAAATAGTGTATAAATTTAATTATGTAGCAATAAGAATTAGTTTATGCTTTATGGTATTAAAGATAGGTGCCATGTGTTCTTGACGTGAAAGTGTTAATGATAGGTGCCATGTGTTCTTGACGTGAAGTTATTAATGATAGGTGCCATGTGTTCTTGATGTGAAAGTGTTAATGATAGGTGCCATGTGTTCTTGACGTGAAGTTATTAATGATAGGTGCCATGTGTTCTTGACGTGAAGGTATTAATGATAGGAGTCATGTGTTCTTCACGTGAAGGTATTAATGATAGGTGCCATGTGTTTTTCACGTGAACGTGAAAGAATCATGAGTAAGTCTTCATTCACAAAACAATAAAACCTGACAAACCTAGCGAGTTTGGAAAACAAACTTTTAATTTCTCCAAAGGCCAGCGGTGATTTGTCCCTGAAGGAGAATGAATATATCTTCCGAAATCGCATTGATTGTCTATTGTCTTATGCTAATTTTTTTACCCAGCATACTTTCTTACTTTCATGAATGTATAAACCCAATATATATATATATATATATATATATATATA